AGTATAGGTTACGCTTGTCCTCTACATGCCAAGTGATTTGTGGCCCCTGAACGCTTAGTAACGCAGGGCTCCAGAGGAGAGGCTACACACATGGCCCCTACATGCCGAGTGATTTGTGGCCCCTGAATGCTTAGTAACACAGGGCCCCAGAGTATAGGCTACGCTTGGCCTCTACATGCCAAGTGATTTGTGGCCCCTGAACGCTAAGTAACGCAGGGCTCCAGAGGAGAGGCTACACACATGGCCCCTACATGCCGAGTGATTTGGGGCCCCTGAATGCTTCGTAACACAGGGCCCCAGAGTATAGGCTACGCTTGGCTCTACGTGCCGGGTGATTTGTGGCCCCTGAATGCTTAGTAACGCAGGGCCCCAGAGTATAGGCTACGCTTGGCCTCTACGTGCCGAGTGATTTGTGCCCCCTAAACACTCAGTAACGCAGGGCCCCAGATTATAGGCTATGGCCCCTACGTGCCGAGTGATTTGTGGCCCCTGAATGTTTAGTAACGCAGGGCTCCAGAGGAGAGGCTACACACTTGGCCCCTTCATGCCAAGTGATTTGTGGCCCCTGTATGCTGTGTAAGGCGTAGACCCTGAATATTGCTCCTGGTATCGTCCTCACAAACCGCAAGCCTTTCAGTATATAATAGGAAGAGATCAGTGAGTCGGCCATATCCTGTGCCAGCAACCACTAGCCCATATGCAACAGGCTACCATGGAAACGCCCTCAGACATATTCCTCTTTCGCCACATAATTTACTGTGAATGTGTAACATCTCTTAACCCTGCCCAAACCTGACACAATTCACCCCAAAAAAACTATCAGCAACACTTAGCCAGCCAGTCACATAATGTGAGAGATATCCGGAATGATATCACATGTCCATCCATCAGGTATACAGCAGGTAACTGCAAGTTAGACCATTTTACTGGCAATAAATAAATGAAATTCCATGTATACGGGATTATATGGGGCAGGGGTTGTATACGGGAGGATATGGGGCAGGGGTTGTATACGGGAGGATATGGGGCAGGGGTTGTATACGGGATTATATGGGGCAGGGGTTGTATATGGGAGGATATGGGGCAGGGGTTGTATACGGGATTATATGGGGCAGGGGTTGTATATGGGAGGATATGGGGGAGGGATTGTATACGGAAGGATATGGGGCAGGGTTTGTATACGGAAGGATATGGGGCAGGGGTTGTATACGGGAGGATATGGGGCTGGGGTTGTATACGGAGGATAGAGTAGGCAGGGTTTGTATATGGAAGGATATGGGCAGGGGTTGTATGGAGGATATATTGGGTTGTATACGGAAGGATATGGGGCAGGGGTTGTATATGGGAGGATATGGGGCAGGGTTTGTATACGGAAGGATATGGGGCAGGGGTTGTATACCTAAGGATATGGTGCAGGGGTTATATATGGGAGGATATGGGGCAGGGGATGTATACGGAAGCATATGGGGCAGGGGTTGTATATAGGAGTATATGGGGCAGGGGTTGTATACGGAAGGATAAGGTGCAGGGATTGTATACGGAAGCATATGGGGCAGGGGATGTATACGGAAGGATATGGGGCAGGGGTTGTATATAGGAGTATATGGGGCAGGGGTTGTCTACGGAAGGATATGGGGCTGGGGTTGTATACGGAAGGATTTGGAGCAGGTTGTATACGGGAGGATAAGGCACAGTATACGGAAGGATATGGGGCAGGGGTTGTATATAGGAGTATATGGGGCAGGGTTTGTCTACGGAAGGATATGGGGCTGGGGTTGTATACGGAAGGATTTGGAGCAGGGGTTGTATACGGGAGGATATGGGGCAGGGGTTGTATATAGGAGTATATGGGGCAGGGGTTGTCTACGGAAGGATAAGGTGCAGGGATTGTATACGGAAGCATATGGGGCAGGGGTTGTATACGGAAGGATATGGGGCAGGAGTTGTATATAGGAGTATATGGGGCAGGGGTTGTATACGGAAGGATTTGGAGCAGGGGTTGTATATGGGAGGATAAGGGGCAGGAATTGTATACGGAAGGATATGGGGCAGGGATTGTATACGGAAGCATATGGTGCAGGGGTTGTCTACGGAAGGATATGGGCAGGGCAGTGGTGTACTAAGGGGGGGGCGGGGGAGGCGGTCATTGGTGGAACATGAAGGTGGACCCTGGGACCCAGACCTTGAGCTGTGTAAAGGACCCCCAAAAAATGGAGCTGCTTCCCGTTCTCCCAGAACATTGATTTTTGTGACCACAGTTACAAACCGCCTCCAGAGAGCCTGTTCTGCACCAGACCAGTGGAGCCAGACTGCAGCTGGAGCCCATCATCATCCTCATCTGGTTGTAAGTAGGCAATCTAGTATATTATTCGTGGCACTAAGCTCTAATTTACCTCACATTAAAGAAACACTATAGTCCCCAGAACCACTTCAGCTTAATGTAATGGTTCTGGTGTCTATAGCCTGTCCCTGCAGTCCTTTTAATGTAAACACGGCGGCACTGCAGCACTGGTGTTAGTTAACATGGCAAATCATATGGGTGGGGCATTGTGATGTCACATGGGGGGGGCAGCAAACTTTACTTTTGCCTAGGGCGGCAAAAATCCTTGCACCGGCCCTGGCTGGAGGGGGCTGTGTGAGCTGTGGCCGCACAGTGTCCCATGGTAGTTAGGGTGCCGTGCTCACACAAGCAAACAGCTGATAAACTGGTCGCACGAAGGAAATGTGTATGTGTGACTGTCTGCCTGTGACTGTGTGTGACCGTCTGCCTGTAACTGAGTGTGTGACTTTCTGCCTGTAAATGTGTGTGTGGGGCTGCAGGGATTTTGTAGAAGGGGGCGGGGGTTTTGTATTGGGACAGGAGTCTTTATAAGGGGGATAAGCAGGGGATTTGTGGAAGGGGGTTGCGGGGGTTTTGTAGATGGGGCAGTACAGGATTTGAAGAAGGGGCAGGACAGAGGTTTTGTAGGAGGGGCGGGGCAGGACAAGGGGGTGTGCCAAACACAGGATCCGCCCCGGGTGCCAAATGCTCTAGGTACGCCCCTGCCTAACAGTAAACTCTGCAGCCCTTCATAGGTCTAAACAGGACTTTGTTCAGCTCTACCCAGAATAAGTACTGAACCAAGCATCTTTCCAGATCAGTGGAATTTCACCATCCTGCACAATACAGCTCTATGTGGGCCCAACAACAAACCATGCAGAGTTCCATAAACAGAACCCAAAGATACTTCAAAGATCTAAAACGGAATCCTGCAGGCAGCACCTGCATAACAATCTAACTTTGAAATGAGCAGATATCTGTAGACCCAATATTTACCCTACAGCTCCCATAGAGTGAACATTGAACCTAGTAGTTCTACCCTGGCTTAACACGGCTCTCTGCACCATTTTTATGTGTTACACTGATCCCAATGAACCCAGACTAAGCTATCATTGAGTCGTGTAGGTATCATGTGCATAATGTGTCTTTATAATCCATTAATAAAATGTAATGTACCAAATCCACTCTGGAGTGTCCCAGTCCCTTAAAGCATTTGAACTGGCTGACATGCTTTAGAGGTTGATTACATGTCCCCTCTAAGTTTATTTTATAAAAGTGTTAATTTTAAGAGAAAAAAACAGCACTTTTATAAATCCCCATAATCATACCTGGATACAAGTCATCAGTAATCATTACTTGAAAGGTTCAGTGGTTGTAGAGAAGAGCTGCAGCGAGGAGAATCTCCCAATGCTTAAATAATGGAAAACACAATAGATTATTATTCTGAAATATTGGTGGGAGTGGGGCTCTGTAATCTAAATAAATGAATGAACATTATATAGAATATCATTTTTTTTATTGAATTCAAGCTCCGTATAAATTTAATATTGAGCTATGCAGTTCTCCGTTGACTGAACAATAAGCACTACATCTGTCCATATATTAAACAATAAACCAGGCAGTTTTCTGCATTCTTAAAGGAGCAATGCAAGGACTATAACCACTACAGCACGCTTTAGTAGTTATGGTGCTTGGAGTAGCCTAGTGTCCTCCTAGGGTAAGTAGTAGAACAGTTTGCAAATGGTTTAATAATTCCCCAGGGGTTCGTCAGGAGTCAGTCTCACCTTTCTCTGTCCTGAACTAACGCAGCAGTGCAGGGCTTAGCTCACTGACTATCAGTACACTGCAGTGGTTGTGGTGCTTGGGAAGTTTCTTTAACATTGCTGATGCAGATAGGACATTCTGTGTTCCGTTACAGGGTCCAGGAAAGTTGCATGTGTGTTTATTTCAACAAGTCTGCAAGTTGATACATTTTCATCAACTCAGGGAAAACCGGGGTTTAATAAACACCTTCCCCACAGAGTTATTTAATTTTTTTTACATTTTAATTGGAACAGTAAATCTTCCATTTCTGTAATACACAGGGAATGTTTGATTAGCCCTGAGATCTTTGAATAAGATTAGCGCAGAATAGTAATTGCAAGCGACGTTAATGTTTGGCTTGCCGTGTGCGTATATCTCCGCGAGATCAGGGACGCTGACTTGTTCTCTCCACATAATTATATTGGGAAGTGGAATTTGTGTCACTTTGCAGCTGTTTTGCAGCTTGTGATCGTATTATCACTAGAATTCTACCAAACTTGGAGCCAAACATGGCCAAGATTACGGAACGCAAGATCAGAAGGTGAGATCTTCTTTATAAACTAGTACGTAAATA